TTGCAGATCATGTGGCTTGGTTCAGTTTTGTTAGCAAGATTGTATCCCCAGACAGGCAGCAACTGTTGGCAACAAATTCTTTCAATTTCCATTCACAAAGTGGGGGAGATCATTAAGTAATGAAACTTGGTTGAGTTACATGTTGCTGTGTAACAAACCACCCTGGAAGTTAGTGTCCTGAGACAACAACAATTTATTATTTCTCACGATTCTGTGGGTTGACTAGGATCAGCTAGGTGATTCTTTTGTTCCATGTAGTATAGGCTGAAGTCACCCCAGTGGTTACATTAAGCTGGGAACTCATCTACTGCAGGAATACCAAAGATAATTTCTCATTCTTAAGGGCATCTCTCTATGGGGCTTGTCATCATTTAATATCTTGCTTGAGCTTCTTCACAGTGTGGCCATTGGCTTTCAAGATGAAAGATTCCAATAGGACATACCCCAGTCCACAAACACTTATTAAGCCTTTGTGGCATCTCATTTACTGATGTCCTGTTGGCCAAGCAAGTCATATGGCCAAACTCAGAGTCAATGTGTGAGGGGATCAGACAAGGGCACTGATATTGGAAAGCAGCCTATTGAAGGCCACCAATGTAACAGTCTCTCACAAGGCTGGTTCCTGTCTCTGGTCACACACAGAACTGTATTATTATCTATTTTTCTTCAGGAGCTGGACCCTGGCTGATGTCTTCCTTCTGCCACAAACAGAGTCCAGGACTTATGTGGCCTTGATAATGATCATCATTTTGCATTTGATACTATTTCTGATATATAGAAATATTTATCTTTTTAAAATCACAGCTATAACATTTAATTTTCTCATTTATATTGTATCTCTTATTTTTCTATTTGAAACAGAATGAAGATTGAGGAGTTTCAAAATCTTAATTGAAAATGTCATCCTGGCTGGAAGTCTGGCCCAACATCAGGTCCACTTTCCTTAGTAAGATCCTCTACCAGTTTGCTCCAACCTTCACTGGAAATGCCATTCTTCTGTCTGCCACTCTTCTTCTTCTGTGAATTACACAGCAGTGTTCACTGGATAATCAGCACATGTCTCTATACCTTGTTTACATTTTTCGTGGAATGATCTTGCTCCCAAAAGTTCCATTGACACCCTCTACTTATTCTTCTAGTCAAATGTTGGCAGCCAGAAACACTCTTTTCCTCTGAATTCCCAGTATTTTTCTTGTATTTCTCTTAGAGCACTTATCACTTCCTACCTTTTATCGTAGATATGCCATAACTTCGTCTTGGTTGCTTGGGGGTAAAGTGCATGTCAGATTTTCTCTGCATTGTGCCTTGCACATAGATAGCAGACTCTCAACACATATCTGTTGCCTTCCCACTCCAAAAGTATCCAAGGAAGCTAATTTACATATGAATTTTTAAAGAGCTGAATTTCAAGGGAAGATGACATCCATACTTATTCTACATCTTCTCCATTTTAGGTCATTTAATACTACAGCTGGTACTGATTACCCCCATATTTTATTAAGTGTAATCAGAATACAGTGCATGTAAGTATTTTGCTCTAATATTAGTGGTTTCTAAGAAAATTCTCTAAAGGCCTATTTTGAGGCTATACATTTAGGCAGAACACTATAATTAAAATTATCCCTAGATTTGTATCTTAATCCTGCTACTACAATTTTCTTTTGATTTTTAGAAAATAGCCTTCAATGGAGACCTTTGCTTAAGATTTAACTGACTGTAAATGGAATCATGTACTCACGTGAGATTCTGAACCCTTGAGAAGTAGAATCATGATTTATTCATCTTTCAATGCTCAGTGTCTAGGACAGAGGCTGGAGCATGAACATTAAATGTTTTCAGACTTTGTTGGAACAGCCTGCAGGCTCATCAACCCCTCCCCCACACAGACTCAGGAACAGTGTGCCTTTATCAATATCTATTTGTAACGGTCAGCCTATTCTACATTTGAAACACAAAGAACCTTTTAAGAAAAAAGTGGATTTGTTTTTACTATTGGTAAAACGTTTAGAAAAAGCTAGGAAAGATAAAAAGATGTTAAAACAGAGGGGCTATGTTTAATATAGTCATGCATCATTAAACAACAGGGATATGTCCTGAAAAATGTGTCATTAGGTGATTTTGTCATTGTGCAAACATCATACAGTGTACTTACACAAACTCAGATGGTATAGCCTGCTACAAACCGAGGCTATATGGTATAGCCTATTGCTTCTAGGCTACAAACCAGTACAGCATGTTACTGTAGTAAATACTGTAATTGTAACACAATAGTATCTGTGTATCTAGACATATCTAAATAAAGAAAAGATACAGTAAAAATACAGTATAAAAGACAAAAAATGGTCCACCTGTATAGGGCACTTGTCATGAATGAAGCTTGCAGGACTGGAAGCTGCTCTGGGTGAGTCAGTGAGTGAGAGGTGAGTGAGTATAAAGGCCGAGGTTATTACTGTGCATTACTGCAGACTTTATAAGCACTGTACACTTAGGCTACACTAAATATATAAAAATATTTTTCTTTCTTCAATAATAAATTAACTTAGCTCACTGTAACTTTTACTTTATAAACTCTTTTCTAAAACTTTTTGACCATTTTGTAATAACACTTAGTTGAAAACACAAACACACCGTACAACTGTACAAAAATATTTTCTTTCTTTATAAGCTTTTTTCCTATTTTTATATATTTTTTCACTTTTAAAACTTTTTGTTAAAAACTAAGACACAAACACACATATTATCACTGCCTTCCACTTCCACATCTTGTCCCACTGAAAGGTCTACAGGGTCAGTAACATGCATGGAGTTGTCATCTCCTATGATAGCAACGCCTTCTTCTGGATTACCTCCCGAAGGACCTGCCTGAGGCTGTTTTACAGTTAACTTTTTTATATATATATAAATAGAAGGAGTACACTTTAAAATAATGATAAAAGTATAGTATCTAAGTACATAAACCAGTAACATAGCCATTTATCATCATTGTCAACTATTATATAGGGTACATAATTGTATGTGCTATACTTTTATCCGACTGGCAGCACACTAGGTTTGTTCCCACCAGCATCATCACAAACACGTGATATTGTGTTTCACTAAGACATTATGATGGCTACAACATCACTAGGCAATAGGAATTTTTCAGTTCTGTTATAATCTTATGGGGCCACTGTCGAATATGCGGTCTGTCACTGACTGAAACGTTCTCATGTGGCATCTGATGGTATTCCTTGTATTCCCCACAAAGCCTTTTACAGAGTAGGTACTCAGTAAATGTTTGATGATAAAGATAGGAAATATTTGTCCTATTTTGAAAAAAGTCACAACTCTTTTGAAGAAGTATTGGCATCAGGATCTTAGAAGATTTATGCAGAATTTCAAATGTGTATTGTGATCAGAACTATGGCAGGGGCAAACCAGGGACTCAATAAATGAGGCTTAACCCTTGTTTATACCTTCCAGGATTTCTACCCCACTCTTTGTCTTAAAACGTTTTACAAAAATGAAAAGGAGATCAAAGCAATGCTTTATCATCTGGTAGTATCGCTTTTATCTGTGAAACCAACTGCAAATTATTAAGCTTGACTAAGTGTCCTCGAGTCTTCATCACCTTTATTCTCTCAATATGAACACAGGGCGGAGTATCGATTGCTACTCGAGCCTTACACATTAAAGTTAACCCATTACTACACTTCAAATCCTACAACCCAAACGCTCTTTGAATGATGTCACCACACGGTAATTTTTATAAGTTACACTCCATGGATGTCTAATATGTGCCAGAGAGTGTGCTGGTATTGGGTAGAGAAAATCATTAATACAACTAAAACCTATTCACTCTCCATCACCAAGAACAGACCCTGCCCCAGCTTACTATCTGGCAGGGAAGGCAGACATTTAACAAGCAAATACAATCGCCAGTTTTCAGAAGGACGTCCGTGTGAGATCCCAAGACACAAGTCATCAAGGATCAGAGTGAGGAAGAATGGGGACAACAGTCAAGCAAACAACTTGAATATCGACCTGATAAATGCTATGCCAGCATATGACCAAAGTACTAACAAAATACAAAAGTGGGAGTATTTAATTCTCTCTAGAGGCTTGGGAAGGGCATCAGGAAGGAGCTGAAATCTTCAGGGATGAGTAGGCTTACCCCAGGCTTAAAACTGGTGCCGGCAATGGCGGTGGTGATGGTGCTCAGGAAGGAATTTGTTCTTGAAAGTGCACGCATGGCAGGGCTGGGGAACTCCAAGTACCTACTGCTGGGGTGGATGGCCATCAGACCACTCTCACTAATTCTTCAGCTTCTTGGCCAAGCACCACCATAGCTAGTTGAATCAGTTTGAGTGGGAGCTGATATTTCAGATCAGACCTCAGATTTTCCCCACAGAGTGCCAGATAAAATAAAAGATCCCCAGTTAAATTTGAATTTCAGATAAACCACGAATCATTTTTTTTGTGAAGTCCCCAATATTTGGGACATACTTATATTAAAAATTATTTGTTGACTATATGAAATTCAAAGTTCATATTTTTATTTGCTTTGCTTTGATTTGAATTTTTATTTGTGCATTTGTTTCTATCACAAATAAATGTTGCTACCTCTGCCAACCCTACCAGAGTGGTAAGAACCAGCACGGTTCTACAGTGGCACAGATGATCACAAAACAAAACGCCACCGCGACCCTCGCGTTCTGTAATCTAATCACCCAAAAGTCTCACCAATTGGAAGCAAGCAGGGACAGAACGGCCTTCCACAAAAGAGACGCTGTCACTAGGCAACCAGGGCACACACCCACGCTACCGGCCGCAGCGCCGAGGTGACATACGCAAGCGCGCGCTGACGTGTAATCCCGCGTTAAAGGGTGGGGACGATTTAGCGTCACTCTTGCTTGTGACCCCACTCCCTCTTTGTGATTGGCTGCCTTGGGGGTGCGGCCCTCGGGCGCGGACGTTCCCAATTGGTACTTGGGAGCAGCGGGGCGGGACTCCGGCTGCAGCCGCGGGAGGTCCGGAGACAGGCGGCCATGGAACCCGCCGGTAAGTGCGCGTCTGGCCTCCGCTCTCCGGCACGATCTGCCGTTTCTGGCTGTGGCTGTGCTGTCCCCGTGGGAGCGTGGCGAGTTGGGGGGTGAAGCCGACCGGTCCGAGGACTGAGTCGAGTCGGAAAGTCTTCGGAGCGGAGTGGGGCTGACGGTGCATTGAAGGCGGCCGCGCTTGAGCTGGTTCCTAAGCCGAGGCGGGTGGGGCGAGGAACGGGGCGCTCCGGGAGCCCCGGCCTCAGACCCCCGCCCACTGTCCAGCCGCCTTCTACCTCCCTTTGGGCCCGGCCAGACCCTGCCTGTCCCCGGCGGGGTCGCTGACTGAGCGGGGGCGTCCCCTCCTTGGACAACCAGCTCTCCGGGAGTGAAGCGCGGGGCAGTGCCCAGGGATTAGGTGGAAGTCCCGTCCTCTTGATCCCCAACCCCCGTCAGGGCTCTCTAAGGCGACTCAGGACCCTCTACTGCTAGTGACTGCCCTGGGCTTGTTGGCCGTGGTCGAGAATTTGACGGTCATCTCGCGTCTGCCACTGAAGTGGCTGGCTGGGTGGAGACTTTGAACAGATCGCTCAACTTGTCCGTAAAGTGAGAGAGGTATTCACTAGATCTCGAAGCCTCTCTTCAGCTTTAAATTCTAAGATTCTATGATTGTGCTGTATATTTAGCTTTTATGGTGTAAAAATGTTAGGAGCGCTATCCTGGTGGAAGTAGGCAGACTCCTCAGAACATTGCAGCTTAATGACAAAATTTTAAGTGACTTCATTTGGTTCATTACTCACTGTTTTCGTGATCACTCATCTTTGAAAACTGAATAGAACTGGAAGTTCGGGTTTAGGTGACAAACCACAGTAAGAAATTGTTAGTGAAGCCACTTCAAAATACAAGCTTGAGGAATCTTAATATTTGCTAATATTGAATCTCAATTAGTAAATTCAGTTCTACAAGCACTTCTCGAGTATATTTTAAATGTAGATGAATTTGTTGGAGAGAATAGATAAGACTTTGCACGCACAGTTAATTTGCATTTTCTGAGTTTGTAGGTGAAAGCTGAAACTCAGAGCTCTGGGTGGCTTCCTGTTGTACAAGATAGTTGAGTTTCTCTAGCATTGGAAATCTCATCTGTGAAGTTGAGGAACATTTTCACTAGATCTCTGAGACTTTCTTTAGCTTTGAAACTCTAAGAATCTATAATAGTGCTGAATATTATGTGGGCATTTCACGTTGATATGGCTGTAGGGGACCCCCTGAGATAAACTTAACTCACTTTAGAAAATGTCCCCAGATCGAGCCCATCTGTAGTTTAGCCTTTATCTTCAGATTCCACACTAGGGGAGGAACACTCCTGAAAGAAAGGCTTACATAACTGAAAGAAAGGTCAAAAAAGTGACTGGAGCAGTTTGATAATCACCGTCTTTGAATAAGAAAGGAAAAAATGTGATTTGTTCGCAGCCTGCCCTCCAGGTGACACTTGAAAAAGGTACTCTCAAAAACACAGTTCTAGCTCCAGGTATATATATATATATATATATATATATATTTTACTGGGCCTCCAAGCTGTCCCTTCACTGACATCTCATCTGATGTCTGTGTCTCCACAAGCTGTTCTCACAGGTCTTTATCGGCTCTGCCAGAGGGGCCGAGGTGTCACCCGGGCCAGTGTCATGTGGTGAGCTGCACGTGTCCCTGCCGTTCCAGCTGTGGGAGAACAGTGTTAGCAGCTCATTGTCTGCATGTTGAGAAATGCAAAACTTACAGATGCATCTTTTGTCATAAAGAAATTTGAATTACAAATTTCAATCAGGAAACCAAACCACACTTCTTAGTTTTGCTCAGTTTTTATGCATCACCTTATAAGTTTTCTTCAAAAAAATTATCAAAAAATCTGTCCTAGTAGAAATTGCTACATTGTAAATAGCAATTTATTAGAAGTGTTGCCTTGGTGTTATCGGCACCGCACTCTCCCAAGTGAGCCATGGGCTGGCCCTTCCAGGTATATTTTAGTGAAAACCACAAACCTAATACTAAGAGAAATTTATGAGATTAATTGAATCAGTGGCTAAGATCTGGAGCAGGGGTCAGCAAACTTTCTGTAAAGGGCCAGATGATAAATATTTTAGATTCTGTGTGTCATATGTCCTCTGACACAGCTATTCTGCTCTTGTAGCCATTCACATGAATGAATGGGCAAGTCTGTGTTCCTGTAAAGCTTTATTTACAAATATGGGCAGTGCGTATAACTAGGTTTGAATCCTGGCCTGTTTTAGTTACTGTATAACAAACCACCCAAAACTTAGTGGTGTCAAATAGCTATTTGGTTATGTTTCATGATTCTGCAATCTGCCAGGCTGAGCTGGTTGGTTCTTCTGCTGGTCATTGCAGTGGTCATTAGTGAGGCTGCATTTAGCTGACAAGTTGGCTGGGCCTTGGCTCTTTCCATGTGGTCTCAAAGCTCTTCCCTCTCCACATTTTTTTTTTCCCACATCCCTCTAGCACAGTAGCTGGGCTTCCTACATGGTGGCTTATGGTATCCAAGAGTGCATGAGTAGAAGCCACAGGGCCTTTTCAGGCTGAGGCCAAAAATTTGCACATCACTTCGACTATGTCCTATGGGTTAAACCAGGTCCACATGCAAGGGGAGGGAACTATAGAAGGGTGTAAGTACTGGGAGGCAGGACCACCAGTGAAGCAGACTGCCTCAGGTGATTGTGGACAAATTCCTTAACCTCTTTAAGCTTTAGATTTTTCGTTCATAAGATGGAGTTAATACCTCATAGAGTTTTGGTGAGGCTGCAGTAAGATAGAGAAAACTCTTAGCATGTAGTGCCTGATGTATAGTGGCCATTTAATAAGTAGAAGCTGGTAAATTGATAAAAGTAGAAGAGAAGAATATATGTATCAATAAATATATGGATATGTGTATGGATATGTGTGTGTATATGTATTTAATTATTGGAAAGAACTGGTTTGTTAGCATGGCAAATCATTATATACTGTGGTGTAACAAACTTATTTAAAATTATGTGTAGCAGTATTTTTAGAGCGAAAGTAAGACTGCAGAGTCTAGTTTTGTTGTATGGCACATAGTAAATGCTTAGCAAATAAATGTCAAATGAGTAAATTCATTATATACTTTGTTTTTATTTCTAGGGTAAAAATTAACAAATTGACATTGAAACAGTATTTATATCTGGATTTGGAATATGGAATGTGTTTTGTCTCTGAGCTGAGCTCCTGTTTTACTTTCTTTTTTAGGTAATAGAGGACACATCTTAACTGGGTTGCTCTAAGAACTGATGTCTAAACCATCTCAGCATGGCCTGTAGAGGAGGAGGTGGGCATGGCCAGCCTCCCTCAGCTACACTCTTCCGGGTTAGCCCTGGAAATCTTTCCACACGTAGAACCCTTACCCATAATATATGCATGGTGTCTGACTTTTTCTACCCAAATATGGGAGGCGTGGAAAGCCACATTTACCAACTCTCTCAGTGCCTGATTGAAAGAGGGCACAAGGTCATAATTGTCACCCATGCTTATGGAAATCGAAAAGGCATCCGTTACCTCACTAATGGCCTCAAAGTCTATTACTTGCCTCTGAAAGTCATGTACAACCAATCGACAGCCACGACCCTCTTTCACAGTCTGCCATTGCTCAGGTACATATTTGTTCGGGAGAGAGTCACAATAATCCATTCACATAGTTCTTTTTCTGCCATGGCCCATGATGCCCTCTTCCACGCCAAGACAATGGGGCTTCAGACAGTCTTCACGGACCATTCCCTTTTTGGATTTGCTGATGTCAGCTCGGTGCTTACAAACAAGCTTCTAACTGTATCTCTTTGTGACACAAACCACATCATTTGTGTCTCTTATACTAGTAAGGAAAATACTGTACTAAGAGCAGCACTGAATCCTGAAATAGTGTCCGTCATTCCTAATGCTGTAGATCCTACTGACTTCACTCCAGACCCATTTAGAAGGCATGATAGTGTAATAACTATTGTTGTTGTCAGCAGACTTGTTTACAGAAAAGGTAATGGAATGATAGCTATAATTGCATTGCAGACTTTTTTTTTTCCTTATAGAAAGCTGTTGAATACTTGTATGTAATGATTGTTTGGCTTTTCACTTTGTTTTATGGTTTTATAACTTCTTCTGCATTAAATATAGTAAAGAAAGTTCTAATATTGGTTTATACATCCAAGAAGAGAAATTTTTAGGATGGTGGTGAATGCTGCCCCCCGACCTTTGATGCTTTAATGGTTACTAAAAAATAAGAATAATAACCTGCTGCTGTTTAATTGATCAGGCCTTTTTAAAAATTGAAACAGCCCTGCATATGTGGTAAGAAGTAAAGGGCAGAGCCCACCACGTGGCCTTTACTTTCTGACTGCAAAAATAATGTCTTTTTTTTGCAGATATTTTGAAAACTAAGAAAAGCACAAAAATGAAAACTAAAGTCACCTGTAACTATGTTATGCAGAGATGATCCTAATGAATATTTTGATTTATAGCTTTCCTCTCTTTTTTATGCGTACATATACTCAAAATTGATGGGCTTGTTCTGTACATGACTGTTTTGTAGCTTGCTTGTTTCATTTAATCATATATAAGACATTAATAACATATTGGCAGGTAAGTGATGAAGAAAAGGGGGTTAGACGACCCAGGCTCAGATCCTGGCTCTACCCCATTGTGTGATTGAGGACAAGTTACTTAACGTCTGTAAGTCTCAGTTTTTTCATTTGTGTAATTTAGGCAACAATGGGAAACTTATGTGGGTTCAGTGATAGTTTCTATAAAGTACTTAGCCCAGTTTGTACTCAATAAGTGTTATTAAAGAGGATTTTTTTTAGTGCCTCCACAGCACTTAATGGATACCATGACAGAGCTTGTAGAGGCTTGTTTTCTAAAAGTCTAAAATAGTCTGGTTATTAAAAACATAGTCTTCTGGATGCTATTTAAAAACCTGTCTAGTAATCGAAAATGTCACTTAAAGTAGGGAATCATTTTTTAAAAGTACACACTCCCTTAAATATTTGAATTTAACCGAAATATTATGAGCACACACTGAATTGCCAATAGTTTGATGCAGGGCTCTGGCATTCGAGTACTGGTCCACTGATTTCAGCTGCATCATTTTGCAGTCACCTTCACAAAGGCATGATCTATCATTGCCACTTTGGGTTTCTTTTAAGTGGGGTGAGAACCTAAAGGCGTATAAGCAATATGCTTCTGGATTTTTAATTTGTTTTTAATTTTATACGTGGCTTAGGACAGCCCTAATGTGACAAGAACTTTTTTCTGTGACTTTCCTTTATTGGGTTTTTCAAACCGTTCAGCTTAGTTTTCATAGAAACTCATTTTGTCAGGTTATGTAATACTTAATACAGTGACAAGTCCAACTGACATCAAACAGTTTTGTGAACAGACGTAACTGATTCTTGGTAAGCACGCAGCTCAGCTGTGTACCAGCGTACTAGGGAGTGACCTCAAATCTAGATGTGTGCCTTGGTCGGCATAGTTTACATTTGGAGTGGAGAGCCTTGGTTGCCCCAGCAGTGCATTTGAGTGGAGGTTGGTAACAAAACTACTGAACTGCATTTTCTGGGGTGAAGGCTATGATGTGCTTTCATTCTTTAGTCAAGAAGATGTGAATGGACCAGCATTCTGTATTCTAAATCCCTCTTGAGGCTTTGGTAACGTGTTTGTTATAACTTAGAAAATGTGTCTAATTTATTTTTTAATTAGATAGATAGCATACCTTTGTGAGATAGCTAGCTAAGAAAGAGTAGGATATGTGTATGATCAAGGATCAGCAAAATTAACTACTCACACAAAGATTAAACTTTTTGCCTTTTAAGCAGCTGAGGTAACCACCAAAGGAGTGAACATATGGCCTTTCCTGTTCTTAGTTCAGTAACTCAACAAATATTTATCGAACCCTCTCTGTATGCCAGACACCCTGCAAAAAGTAACATTCTGAGAAGGACCGGCCACATTTGTGGCCCAAAAGTGAGTTGTATTAATGGTCCATTCCTTAATGTCAAATTAATTTTCTCAGGAGGTGTTCATTGGACCAGATATCAAAGGCCCACTGGAATGTATTAAGAGATAGGACAAACCAAAATTCTCACTGCCCACATTTTCTGGCTGGCTCCTTTCTGACCCCCCTTCTCAAGCCTGTTTTGCTCTTAGTCAGGGATTCCCAGTGCTCTGTGCCTGTGCAGGCATGACCTGTTTACTACTGTAGTGGTAATGACAACTTACATTTGTGTTCTGCAGTTGGTAAAGCCTGTGCATGGTACAGTACCACACTTGACCCTCCCAACAACTGTAGGGTACATATTATCTGCATGTAACAGACAAAGAAACTGAGTCTCAGAGAGGGTAAGTAACTTGCCCAGGTTACACAGTAAGTAACAGATGACAAACATGAGTCCTGCTCTTCTTGAATTAAGGTCTCCTGTTCCCCCACCTCCAGCCTGGCCACTATTCTCCTAGGTATAGATCATAAAATTCTTTAAAATATTGTTAGACCAAGCTTTAAAAGCAGTTTGACTCAGGGATTTTCCTTGCCCATTTTGTGTGAAAATCTGTTTGTATGTTGCATTGTGTTAGACTCTTCTTAGAGGCGTCAAAATAAATTGAAAGTCTTTGTATGTTCCATGTGTTAGATTCTTCCTAGAGGCACCAGAATAATTTTTTTTATAATGGGGGAAAAAACCCTTTATTCTTGGAATGATACTATAGATCATTGTTAATAGTAATCAGTTCCATTTCTTATAAGATGATTGTCAGGACTAAATGACATAATGCATTTAAAGTACATTGCCTGATGTAATGCATTTAAAATAAATGTTAATTATCAGCAATTATGATTATTGCTCTGTGTTTTTTGTTTGTTTATTTAAAGAATGGGCTTTAACCTTGTACGTCTTAGAAAGGAGGGAAAAGGGAGAAAGGGGGGAAAGAAAGAAAATAAGAGGAAGGAATTATATGAGGCTAAATGGTAAAAGTCACTTACTTTCTGGTTTGTCTAGAAATCCAATTGGTGGATTTGGTAATAGACTTGAAATGAAGATAGCTAAGATTTTAATGAGAAGCCCTCATAATTCAGAAAAGCTGCATGTGAATTTGTTTTTGATATATGCAATCATATCTTGAAAATACCAGTAGAGTTTATTTTACTTAATGAATCCTACTTTGCATTATTTAATAGAAATGCCACATGTATCATTTCTCTCATGTCTATTTTATAATTGATCGGCCTATTTTGGGGAAGATTGATGTAAGAAATGCAATTCTTACGTGTGTGTAAGAAATGCAATTCTTATGTGTGTGTGTGCATGCATTTTTTAAGTTAATAAACAGCTCTAAGTGGATTCTTTTACTTTTGAATGTGTATGATTTGTAATAGTTAAAGAATTAAATTCCTAAATAGTGTCAACATTGTCATTTTGCATAACCACTAACTTTTTCAGACTGGTAGGTCATGATTTATTTTATTGCCCTATATTACCTGAGGTTATATTTATATATTATGAGAAAATCTTTTTTTTTTTTTTTTTTTAAAAAAAGGAACCAAGATGCATCCTTTTGTTCTATGGAGTGTAATGTCTGACGGTTGAGGTTCTGTCGCCTTCATTTACTACCACTCTGGGGAAGAGGGCTATAACTGATTTGGACGGACTATTCTTTTAAATTTTCCTAATACAATAGTGTGCACTATAAAGTTTTCTGTACGAACTGCATTTTGAACAACATGGAAGCAGCAGTTAAACTTTGTTGCTTAGCCCTTTTTTATGGCAGGAAGTGGAGTCATACTTGTAGAATTTTATAGCTGAAAGAAGTCTTGGACTTTAGGTACATAGATAGATCTCTTCGTTTTATAGATCAGGAAACTTCCCCCCAATCAAAAGTCTCACTTGGAAAAAGGAAAGCTTGAACAAAACCTAGATCTCCAGTCAGTTGTCCTGCTCTGGAGAAAGCTAACTCCAACCTTAGCCACCTTAAATACCTTTTTTAGAAGTAGTATGTAAACACAGGTGAGTGACTTAAACACTAGTATGTTGAAATGAAAGAGAGTGGTCCATATTTTGGGTGTGTGGAAGATAACAATGCATGTCAAGGTCTATATCTCCCAGAATTGCAACTCTTGGGGGACCACTGGCAGTTTGTGAACGATTGCACCCTCCCAGGAAAGGTTTAAGAGAATTAGTTCATTTACTTTAAGGAGGTCATAGCTAATACTTTCCAAAGTTGAGTGGATTCTCAGTACTGATGAATTTCTTTTAAAAAGTTTAAATATTAATATCTCCAACATTCAACTTTATTTTATATTTTCAGGGACCGATTTGCTTAGTGGTATAATACCTGAAATATGTCAGAAATATCCAGATTTAAATTTTATAATTGGAGGAGAGGGACCAAAGAGAATCATTTTGGAAGAAGTACGGGAAAGATACCAGCTACAGGACAGGTATTGATGGATTCCATATTGTCTTGGGTGAGAACATATCAATTACCTATATTCAGTTTTGATCATATGTCTGCCTTAGGTGTGCTGCTTCTCCTACATGTAATTGATATAAAAAATGGAATGCAAGGCCTGTTTTTAAAGAATTGATATAAAATGAGAAAATCTAGTTAAAGAATTTACCCTTTTATTTTTTTCCATTAGCCCAATATTAGTTGACTTGGTGGGGACAGCTGATGGAGGCACCATGGAAGGCACAAAAAAAAACCACTTTAATTGGAAATGTTTGCAGATTTCCAAGATACTGTGTTGTGATTTAAATAGCGTGGTTCAAATTGTGTAAATTGCTGTGCACATACAGATTCAGACAGGTCTCTTCTTTAGTAACTTAGATAACATGTGAGGGGTGGATGTATGAAGCATCCATTTTAAGAAGGCCATTTTTCTGATTAGAAGTGACACTAACATTTAAGCATCAAAGTGTATTAATGTTTTCATTACATGCTAACCAGTTTTGGAAGATGAAATTTTATGTGTAACAAAAGTTAGAAATATGTTAGCTGTATGAGTTTTAATCCGCAGATGTGGCTTATAAATTAAATTTGTTTTTAACATGATTTTTCACTCCTTTCTTTCTTCCTTTCACATTTAAAAAATCAGGGTGCTTCTTTTAGGAGCTTTGGAACACAAGGATGTTAGAAATGTCTTAGTCCAAGGACATATTTTTCTTAATACTTCCCTTACCGAAGCATTCTGCATGGCAATTGTGGAAGCAGCCAGCTGTGGTTTACAGGTAAAAAGCTTTGAGGGCTTTTTTTCCCTCATTGTTGGTGTTTCTGTATTTGTAGTTTTAAAAATAATGAGACACATTCTGTAATAATTTTTTAACTTGGTTTTATTTTCCTAAGGTATGATTATGGTGGATCGTGTGTTCTTTTTTTCTTTTTAAGGTTGTCAGTACCAGAGTTGGTGGAATTCCTGAGGTGCTTCCAGAAAATCTTATTATTTTATGTGAGCCTTCGGTGAAATCTTTGTGTGAAGGGTTGGAAAAAGCTATTTTCCAACTGAAGTCAGGGGCATTGCCAGCTCCAGAAAATATCCATAACATAGTAAAGACTTTCTACACCTGGAGGAATGTTGCGGAGAGAACTGAAAAAGTATGTCACATGCTGAGAAAGATTGTACCTGAACTCTCACTTGATGTTTCACGTACACATTTGCTTTCTTTTTCACACAAGTTTGCCGTTTTTGTCCCATTGATTCAGTTTATGAAATCTCTTCCAAGTGAAAAGAGAAGAACTATTCATTACTTTTGGTACACATACTGGGCTAAGTTTCTGTCAAATTATTGCATTTGACATCTGCAAATAGCAGTAATACAGTCATGCCCCCTCATTAATAAAGAAGTTACAAAATGTCCTGGAAGTCACAGCAATTAGAGGCAAAACTAGTATTAAAATCTACTCTTAGACATGTTGAAGCTGTTTATCATTCTAAAGCATATAGGTCTATTAGCAAATATCTAGTTTTGCTGATTCCAGCGACTTTATAACTTGCGAATGTTTAATTTAGGCTACTTTCTAACCTCTTGTGGCACTTTTGCTAACTACTGTGATTTTCTGCAGGAAAAGGATTTTTGCATCTTTGAACTGATTGAGAACATAATAAGTTAGAATTCAAAATGTACATGGCAAAAGTTGGAAAAATGATCCCAAATAAGCAGCAATAGAGAAGTTCCAAAAGGACAGGTACAGGAAATTGATTAACACTCTTAGATAGGAGAGTACAGTTGTGGGAAATGATTCCTGCTTTCAAATTAGAGACTTCATTTATGCTACTCAGTTTTGTCCTTTACATCCTTCTCATGACTTCCTCTGCCTCATGCCTCTTATTACCATGTTACAAGCTGAATGGAAACAACTCGGCTTCTTAGTATGTAGAAACTGTGAACCGGGAAGACAGCCAGGTGGAGCCTGGAGAAGGTAGCGGTTTAGACTAGTGCTTTGTACTGTCAATGTATTCAGTGGAGCAACGCGTTTCTAGCCTGGAGTAGATAGCAAGATGGATCTGAGGAGAGAATAGCTCTTTACTGTAAGTAAACACTTTACTGTTTATTTGGTTTAAATTGTAAGTTCCAGTACATAAGATGAACCCATATTTGAATATGTTAAAAAAAACTCTTATCTCTAAAAATTGTATACATTTTGCACTGAAATATGAAATATTTGAAACAGTCAAACATTTTTGACTGAAGTATCTCGGAGATACTCTGACCTTCTAGAAGTCTTGTGGTATCTTGACCCATATGAAATAGCTACCTTTTCCTTTGGAAGTTGGAGTCTAGCACTGATTAGCTGTTGGAAGTGCACGTCGGAGTCACCTGGTTGGCTTTTTCAGACTCTGTATACTCCATCTTCATGTTCCCCTGCTTCCCCAACCACTTCTTAGGTTCTGATGTGACCCTTTAGGAGCAGAGATGGAATTTGGGATATGGTTGGCAGGGATATTTGGTTAAACAGGTTTTTCGGAGATACCACCCTGATTGAGAACCACAGCTCTGTAAGTTGTGACTTGTCCTTGATTGACATAAAACCTCAGAAGTCTAAGCTATTGTAGGTATTAAATTCAGAGGGAAAGAACTATGGTAACAGTTTGTCAGTATACGTCAAAGGAGCTAATTAGGATTTCGTTTTCTTTTAGTTATTCTTTTAGTTATTCTTGAAGTAGTACTAAAACATCTATTTTTGTTTTTTCTATTTTATACTCTGGTGATTTATAATATACATTTAAAAAAATTAAATCTTTGTTCTATAATGGATTGTTATCCTTAATATTCTTTTCATAGTAGTATATTGTTATTTTATCACTTAAGATCACAAATTAACTGACCTGAAATAAAGCTGGACAGATAGTTTGTAGTTGTTCTTTTAACTCTAGGACACTTTGATCATTTTCAACTACTTCCTCTTAGTTTAACTGTGCTATTTAGAAAATTGATCATGAAATTAAATTGGAGTGCATGCCATAAACATACTTTTTCAATTACAGTTCACCAGTCTCAGCATAATTCTCAACATAATTCTGATTAAAGTGTTTGTATTCAAAATGTCCTCAGGGTGAAAGAACTAGATGAAAACATTCTGTACCTTTCAAAGACCACTGACCTGTAGAACTTGCACTGTGTGTTATAACTTTCGGGAGTTCAAAAGGAAATAGATGGTTTACAGGTCTGATATGTGAAACTGAGCACAAGTACTGTTCAAAGGCAATTTAAAAACATGAATGCTGGCCCATTTGATGTGTTCTAAATAAGTATGTTTAAAGACGTTTGTTTTTTAATATTTTAGAGTTTAGTGCTTAGCAGCGTTTTAAAAAGCAAGCCATTTACTACCAATTTTCAGCAGTAAACTTTATTTCATTTGCCAATGTTTGACCTATACCATCTATTAAAGTTTCTCCCATCTTCTCTTTTATTTGAAATCCGTGAAATGTTTCTGTCTATTCTCACCATCCGTGCTCAGCACATGGACAGCCTGATGAGGCTGTTGAAATAGGAGCCACTGTGGACCCACAAGCACACTAGATTGTAGCTCATTGATTGTGTTCGATGTCGGCCAGATGCCAGCGAGAGCGGTCTCAGCCGAGTCAAGGAATCTTAACTGGCCAGTCCTGCTTCAGCACTGCTGAAGTCACTGCTGAGTTAAATATCATCCGTACAGGGGTGACCTGAAAAGCTGTTCAGACTTTGCAGGACTTTGGAATTCTAGTGGTCCACTAAAATAGTTGGTGATCCCCTAGGGGAAAGGAACTGTGGCTTAGTCTTTGTGTCACACAGTATCTAGTCAAGTGTTTTGCCCAGAATAAATGCCTGTGTTGAATCAAATGACAATAATTATTGTGATTAAGTTCATTAAGGACATCATTACTATAACATCAGCAAAATGTGAGCGACTTCTGTTTGCATGTGTTTATAAAGCATTCCTGCTTAGTCGTTCATCGTGGAGCGTGTGATGGGTTGGAGTGTTCATTCTTGGCCTTTTCTCCCGCCAGGTGTATGACCGGGTGGCTGGGGAAGCTGTGTTGCCGATGGACAAACGGCTAGACAGGCTCATCTCTCACTGCGGCCCAGTAACAGGCTACATTTTTGCTTTATTGGCTGTGTTCGACTTTCTCTTCCTTATTTTCCTGAGATGGATGACTCCAGATTCTCTCATTGATGTCGCAGTAGATGCCACTGGGCCAAGGGGTGCTTGGACTCATCAATGCCCTCATAGGATCAAAAGGCGTGAGAAGAATAAGATGTTTAAAGCCAGATAGAAGAAGCCTGGATTGTGTAGTTTTAAATATTTGTAACACTTATATTAAGACTATTGAATATAACCTTGCTTTTTTTTTTTTAAAGTTAATTTAGAAAATTATGCTACCTCTATATCATCCATTGTTTTATTTTGAGGAAAGATAAAAACTTATGCAATTCCTGAGTGTAGAAACTCCTTGCACTTATTTAAAATTTAGGAGAGAACATTTAAGCCACTCAGGTATGAAATTTTTCAGACTTCTGAAATCCCTCTAGCAGAGATGTTTTAACATTATATTTTGAGAGCTTTGGGTGCTGAAGGGCCAAACGTTTTCTGGGCATTTTTTGGCCAGTTTTTAATGTTATATCATTAATTAGACATTCACCAGATGTTTACAAGTTTTCTTTAGGGAAGTACAACAACTATATGAGCTATTTTAAGTCATGTTCATGTACATTTATTAGTGATTTATGTCACGTTATATGTCCACTAAGTGTTACATATAATCAGCAGGTTACTTGAGTAAAGTGGTTCATTAGTTACCAGCATGTTTTGAGCAACTTCTGTGTGTAAAACGCTAGCTAGAGACTTCCTGCCCTTAAGGACCAGGGGTGCATTCGCTCTTTGTTTATCATTCAAATGGCTTATTTCATTGTAGTCACAGTTGACATGAAATGGTAAAATAGCCAACATGCCAAAAATGCTCATGCTATTAATTGCCAGGAAGAAATTGTCAGCATACTCCAAGTACCTCTCAGATCCTGTAGTGTGCATTCTCCTAGGTAGAACCTTCATCTTCAGTTGTGTTTATGAAATACTTTTTGCTTTTTAAGTATTAGGGACCGAAATCACTGTTGATGATAATGCAGAGAAACCCTCCAGATTTTTCAGTATGTAATTTAGTCCTATGTAAATAAATGCCTTCATGTTTTCTGAGCAGAATGTATGAGGTGTGCCATCTCAAAACCAGCTGCTACCCTGTCCTTTTGATATGTCACTACCCTTCACTGTGGCCTAGCTGGTGTCTGATAAGTATTGTCAGTGTACAAAAGGCTTTACTCCAGAATGTTTTATTTATAGCAAACTGAGTCTGAAAATTTTAGGAACACAGCCGCTTTGTTGGATGGATGCTGTTAACTGTAATCATTGCCCAGAGCCATGGGTTTTTAACCCCAAATTATCCACATGGTGTGTATTATTAATTCCTTGAACTCTTTAGAGTAAGTTTTTGTGAGAAAAGGACTGTGAAATCAAATCAGTGAGAAACTTGTGGGTGCACTAGGTAGATTCTGTCAGTATTGTGATTCTGTACAGGATTTTTTTTTAATGACCACATTCAAGACTTCTTATTTTGTAAAATATCTTAACATGCCTATTAACCGATTGCACTGAAATCAGAGAAATATATTTCTGTGTGTTTGTACTAAAACAAAAAATTACGAGTGCAATTTTTAAAATCTAGAAGTTAGGGGTTCTTGTATTGGAGAAAAATGTACTGATCCAAACCATTCAGTCTTATTGGGATTTCTATGCATAGAAACTGACATGGAAATATGAAACAAACAGTGCCAATATTCATGGTAAAGTGAAAAACTAACATTTGGTTTTATTTATTCTACTCATCAGTTTCTAAAGGCACTACTATTTTTTCTTATATTTTTGCATCTTAATTTTTTCAAAATTGTCATTTAATTCTTAAATCATCATTTATTTAAGATGGAAATAGGATTTAAAGTTAGTTGCCTTTGCATGTAAAATACGTAATTTTTAAAATTATTTTCCTTTTTTTTTTAACAAATTTTTTTGTCTTATGTAAATCTTAATTTTCAGTCTTCCTGGATACCCTAATGTAACTGTCAGTGTTGCACTGGTCAGTATGTGGAAACATGTTGTTCTGTCCTGCTACTTAAATTTATTTGAAAGTGAACTTACAGTGATGAGGAATTTATGAAAAATATATTGAATTTCTTTTGTTGTTACAATGAGTTGCACATGTAAAACCAATTTGCTAAACCATGCTACATGTCCAAAAATAAAGACCAGAATGACATTTTGAGAGTTTTCTGAGTTTGTCTTGTTTTATGAACAGAATGTTTGCTAGTGGAACAGGGTCCCACCACCCCCCACACTTTCTTTTTCAGTGCAATTTGATGTATTGCTTGGTCTGTTAGTAAGACAGGAAATGTCCTTCAGATGATGAATTACTCTGTCATCTTATTTCTAGAATATATGCTCTCTTTTACTCATGGAATAGCAAGTTCAGTTGTACCTTTGTTTCCTGATCCAAGCAAGCACTAGAGTCATCACATAAGACAAATGAATGTACAAACTATTGTATGTGTGAACTGTATAATTATACTTCATATCTTGCCAGCTATTTTAAGAGAAATTTGAGTTTTGACTTCACTTACAGAAGCTTCTCCCCCGCCCCCTTTTGTTGAAAGCAGTGGAAAGCAGTCACCTACATTTATATGTTCTGATTTATCTTACACCAGAACTTACTTTTGGCCAAGTCAGGGTAACATAGGTCTGTGTTTACTTTTGTGAAATATTTTTAGAGGCCTCTTTATCCATCTCGGTATTCCCAAAAGAATGTGGCTAGATGTTAAATTGTATCATTCTGTGGTTGGATTTTTTATATGAAATTATGGAAATTAAAGTACTATACAGAATTTGATTTGTATTCTGCAGTACATTGTGGAGTTGATTTTACTTTATATTTTTCTATGGCTCAGTGGTTCTCAACTGAGGGGTGAGGGTGAGGGTGATTTTGTCCCCCAGGGTACATCTGGCAATGTCTCGAGACATTTCTGGTTGTTACAACTGGACGGGGGTGGGGCATTGGCATCAAGTGGGCAGAGGTCAAGGTTGCTGCTAAGTGTTCTGCAGTGCTCGGGACAGCCCTGCACAACAGAATTATCTGGCCCAAAATGTCAGTAGTGCTAAGGCTGGTAAACCCTGGTGCTGTTGATTATTTTACCTGTAAAAGATATCATGAATCGACTGTCCTTATATATCCATAATTTTTTATGCCGATTTCAAATGTAATGCTCAAATGTAGTAAAGATGGCCTCAGAAATAGTGTGGACATCCATTTGGACCTTACAAAAGTTGAGCTCTCAGCCAGCTTTTCTGGTATGTAAAACATACAAAGGACAGCCATGTTTTAAATGAAAAGACCAAAACAAGATTGAATAATGTTACAGTAGACATCTGGTCTGACATGATCACCTACTTGGAGTACAATTGAAGAAAAAGATATATAAGGAGAGCTAAAATACTTCATGTGTTTTCATACATTGGCGTTCTACCAGGTAATCTAAGCTCGGCAAAGTAACCCTTATATGTTAATGTCTGTTCCTTGAGTGTGAAAACAACTCAAGATCTTTAAAGTGCTGTAATACACTGAAATGGATGAGCTATATATTGGGGCTCAAAGTTGTGCTCTCAGCTGACAGCCTTTTAAATAATATAGTGAAATAGTTATTTAAAAGGTAGTCTTTCTAATTTACCTGAGTGATAGGAGAAACCCATATTTTTGCATAAAGCATTTTTAAATAAGATTGATTTAGCCTGCTGTTATAATTTTATTTTGGCTTGTCTCTTCAATAAGGTTTTACACATCTAGAAAATTGAATACAGACAAGAATGAAGAGACCTAGGGTGGTGAGGAAAATTAAAAATAAATGAATTTCACTTGTGTTGGCCAGCTGATAAGAGAATATTGTCCTAGCAGGGAAGGTATTGATTCATGGAATCTTTGGGTACTTCACCCCAAACCTAGGGCATCTCTTTCGTCCAACTCATTATGACTCTTCCATGAGCAAGGGTAGCCCACATTTTCCAAAAGGAGGTACTGCCTTTACTGATGCTTGAAATGGAAGCGAATGATCAGGAAGGAACTTTGCTGTGGGACCTTGTCATGGATGAAACTACCATAGTGAGTAGTCTAAGGCTTCCAGTCTCTTTTTAAAAATTTATTTATTTTAATTGACACATTATACATACTTATGGGGTAAAATCTGATGTTTTGATACATATATATGTTGTATAATGATCAAATCAGGGTAGTTAATGTATCTGTCACCTCATGCATTTGTCATTTCTTTGTGGTGAAAACATTCAAAAGCTTCTCTTCTAGCTGTTATGTAATATACAGAATTTAACCATAGTCACCCTATTGTGCAATAGAACACCAGAACTTATTCCTCCTATCTAATTGTATATGGTCTTTTTTAACTGGTCATATTTTAGATTTGGGCTTAATCCCCAGAGACCTTGAAATGAAGAGAAAATGAAATGTTCCAGGGAATAGTATTTCCCACTAAGAACAAAAGGTGTACGCTATTTGCACTTCTTTGTATGAACATCAAATAACTTGCTTTGTTCCGATGGGGTCTGAGAAGTTTCTTTTACCTTTCCAACCCTGCCTTCCAACATAATATAGCAAAAATAGAGGTTTAGGATTAAAAAAGGTTTGGACATGAATCCGTTTGATAGTACTGAATAATATAGTTCTAGAACTATTAGATGTTTCTGATTAGAAGGAAGTTTCTTTAGTTTATTTAATATTGCCATAGATGTCAGCACATGCAGTCGCCAAATCACAGTTAGGTTAAAACCTACAAACTGAGTTCTTGGTAACAGGAGCACTGAGTGCTAGAAGGTTTAAAATAGATGTCATATGATACCAATTATAACTCAGTGAAATTTTACAGTGCTAGGATCCTATACAGAGCACAAGCCAAAATGGAAGATGGTCCTGTTTTCTATGGCTTTAAAAACATTTTTATTACAATGTTTGCTACCTTTTTTTTCTTCAAGCTTTTAATTAAAGTTTTTTTGGCTCTCCTAACCCATTTCTATATCGTCAAAGGAAATAGAAAAGAAGCAGCTAGGATAGCAGAAGAGATCTATGGTGGAATTTCAGGTAAAAATACATAAGTTTGTTTCAATACTTAAAAAGAATACCCTCATAGATGATTCATATGAGTAGTATTTCTAGAAGGCAGATTTTATTTATACTTTTGTTTTTAAAAAAGTCTATCATTTAAAGTAGCAAATGGTGCTGGCTGCACCAATTTGTGAAGAATTTTTAGCTTTATTTTTTGCAAATTAGATCTATTAGCAGTTATGATTTAAGAAGTAGGTGGCTTTCGAAGAGCGTTATTACAAACCTCACTTCTACTGGCCAAAAGAATTACTTATATAGGATTATTTTCTTTAATGTTTTTAATCATACTTAACAATGAAGAGCATTCTAACAAGACTAAATTTCCTAAGGAAGTAGAATGATCAATATGATTCAAAACAGCAAACATGGCATGCTATATATATTTTTTTGTGCTGTCATTTGCAATTGGAATTGATTAACCACTTGTTGCTGTCTGGAAAAACCCTATGCTAAACCTATTTGTTCGTGGCACCATGCAAAGCACCGCAAACAAAGGTCATTATAATATGAAATGCCAAGATTTGGATAATACATTATAAAGTCTCATGCTTTGTAGAGATTAGTCTCCATTTCTTTGGAGAAACGACTCACCTTAATTGTAGTGAGATACTACAAAAGTAAATGAGTCAGATACGCCTGTCACTGCTGGGATTGTCACTTAACAGAGGAGTATTTATTCATAAACAGTTCAGAATTTCCCTACGTATTTTTAGTGTTTGCAGGGGTTCCAGGATTACATCATTCTTTATCTAGTATCCATTTCAATTTGCATCCAGGATTCTCTTTCAAAGTAGGCTTATGCTATGTGATTCTAATACACTAGACAACGGTGGTCTTATCCAAAGAAACAAGACCTCCAAAGACGAAGCATCAGAATGCTTCAATTAACTGAGGAAAATGAGAAGATTTTTGAAGTTTCGGGAAGTGTCAGAAGGCCCGGACTGTGGAAAGAGATATCTTTTGGGGATTACATTTGTCACACATTTCAGGGAGGTATGTTACTTTCACTGATTGAAAAAAAAAATTAATGCTTTTTAGTTTCAAGTTAAGCCTAATCTGAAAAGCTATTTTCTAATTTAACTTGTAAATTTAGGCAGGGGCTTTCTAAAATTTTCAGTAATAGTTTTGATGTTTTCATGGATATATCATCCTCATGGTTTAAATTAGGTAAAGCCCAACAAACTCAATATTAGCAAGATTGTGTTAAAAATGTTTTCTCCTATTGCTTGTGTGCATTATTTCTGTCTTTGTAGTCCTTAAGTACACTCTTAAAAGGTTTTGTAGTAGTCAAAATTCATGTGAGCATGGTTTGAATTTAAGTAAGTCTGGAGCCAGAATACAAATCCCTTAGAGTTTATTCTGTAGCTCAAATATATTTACTTGTTCAAGCTCCTAGGATAATAGTCATTTGATTTGCAAGCATCATAGTGTTATAAGGTCAAACGTATTTTTCAATTATTGTTAGCAAGAAGCAGGGTGAGAATAGTGCATGTTAATTTCTCAGTTTAATTTCCTTCCTATATTTATATGAGTGGTCTTCAAAAACTGCATGGAAAGACTCATGTTTCAGTTCCATTTTCCACAAACTTCTTGAAGTATACTCATATATATGTGTGTGTATACCTATACATGCATCACTACACTCTCACACACATATATAATAGAGAGTATATCCAGATTTGGTAAATAAGTCTTTCTATAATAATGTAGGGAGTAATATAATAGAACCAGTAGTTTTTACATGATTCTAATAGTGTTTTTTCTTTTGACATTGTTAGCAGTCAGATACTGTATATTTAAAGTCCAACAAAAATCAAATTTAAAAATCAAAAACAAAATTTTGTGAAAGTTTTAAACTGAAACCAGAAGTCACCCTTGGTGTTCATCGGTTAGGCAAATGTTTGCTGGGAAAACATGACATTTAATTAGTAAGCTAGCCAATTGACTTACAAAAGTCTCAGCCCAAGGTTAAATTTCTTGATTCTGCCTGCATATTCCATTCCTGTAAACTAAGCTATTGTCAGCAATGTCAAAAACAAAGGGAGGGAAGTAAAAAAATTCAGCCGGGACAGAGTTTAGATTTTCATAGGTCCTGGGCATTCTTTCTTTCTTTCTTTTGGAAACTACACCTAACATCCCTCATTAAATTTTTTTTGACTGTAAAATCTTTTGGCAAGTTTTTTAATTTTTTTTTTTTAATTCTGGAATTTCATATTCTGGAGTAGATTATTTGATATGTCTTTATGGTTTAAACTATTGTAGATAACTCATCACAGTTGAGTTAAGCTATGGTTGGCTGTTATTAATTTTGATTTTTCAAGCTTCTTTGTGTATTTTGTCAATAATATATACCTTTTTAAAAATTTGAAACATTGGCCTTGGTCCTTGTTGTTATGGCTAGAGCACCAGATGGATCACTGGAACCCACCTTCAATCCACACATATTTCTGTAGGCACTATCTTTCTCCATAGAGACGCATTATATGATTTTTCAACCTTTGCTAATTTGTACTAAGGTATATTTAGTACCATGACCTGGTCATCAAAGTTGATGAAAACAAAGTGTAGATATAGATTGAAATCTGTCATCCACAACCCTTGGGCCAGACATGTTTCGTAATTTAAGAGCTTTTGGATGTTAGAAAGATTACACAGTATGCATACTGTTTATTACACAGCACTTCCTGTGGGACCTAGAGCTGCCACTCATAATCGAATATTTTGTTCTGTCTATAGTGAACACAGAAATATTCACACTAAGTGAAAATACAAATAAAAATACTAAATTGCTTTACCTGAGTCCTGGCCATGTTTTGCTGCCAAAAGATTTTGCATCAAATTTGGGGAAAAGCTTGGTTTTCATAATTTAGGAGATTTAACAATTGCAGATAAGAGGTTGTAGAACTATAATACGCTGTTTTTTTTCTAAAAAAAAAAATGGCTATTTTAAGATAAGTCTAGGGCCAGCCCCGTGGCTCACTCGGGAGAGTGCAGCGCCGGTAGCACTGGTAGTGCCGAGGCCGCAGGTTCAGATCCTATATAGGGATGGCCGGCGCGCTCACTGGCTGAGTGGGAGAGTGCAGCGCCGGTAGCACTGGTAGTGCCGAGGCCGCAGGTTCAGATCCTATATAGGGATGGCCGGCGCGCTCACTGGCTGAGTGTGGTTCAGACCACACCATGCGGAGGGTTGCAATCCCCTTACCGGTCAAAAAAAAAAGATAGGTCTAAAACATTAGTTCTATTCTAAGTGTTATGCTTAAAATCACTTGTCCTCATTCTAAATTTAATAAACTGACCTTGATTTGACAGCCACACCTCTGTCTGACTCAGCATCCTGACTCCTTTGTCCTGTGTTTTCCATTCCAATAGGATTTTCCTGCCTTTGTTCCATTCTTGCCCAAACCTCTGCCTACCATTCTGCTCTTTAGTTTTTCAGGTTGTCTCTTCAAACCTTGGCCTAACCATCCTCTGAGTAGTTACCTATCTCAGGTGCCTACTTGCTTTTCCAAAGTTGGGACAACAGTCCCTGGCAGGGGCTCTGCCTTTCCACCTGTCACCTGTAGCTCAGCTCTCTTCCCTTTAAAGGGCTCAAAGGAGCCTTCTTTCTAACACATTACAGTACAGTTCACTGTGTCTAACACAGTTCATTGACGATGTTTCATCTCCCAACCAGAACTAGACAGTCTAAAGAATATTCATTTTAACTCAGTTTTATTATATTTTGGATATCTCAGGAAATTTATTATAATATGGGTTTTTCCCAAATACCTTTGTTTTGCTTAAAATATCATTAATTCTGCTAGGCTCTTGCCTGTATTTTGGTTCAAAATTGCAGTTCTTTACAAATTTTCATTTCTTTGATAAATGCTGCAGAAGAACATGTTACTTCATATGATTTCAGAACTTGAATAAAGAATAAAGATTATTCCATGGGCACTGGGGATTATAACCAGTTAGGTGGTCATTTTGAATAATAAACCAGTAATCTCAAATATTTGTTGTAGACAGGGTAAAAAAATCACAAAAACAAATTTAAAAAGAATAATTGGTTTCTATCTTTAATACTTGGGACTTAGACAATGATATTCCATCTGAACAAATTTTGTTTTAGGAGTTGTGAAATTGTTATTCAAAGAGTAAGAGATATAGAGAACTAGAGATAAAAATCACATTCTGAGAAAAATTCAAAGGGAGAAATGAAAAAGAACATGAGCACTTTCTGTCCACCTCCTCAGGAACAAGCAAACATATTCGTAAACTATCTTCATAATGTGTTTGCAGCCCTGTGACACCAGCAGTCTGCCAAATAACTAAAAATAGATTGCCTTAGAATGATGGAGTCCTACTTAAGCATTCATTTATTTGGAGAGCTTAGCTGCATATTTCCTGAAAGGAATGGAAAAACTCCCAAGCTGCCAAGTAACTTTTATCCTAAATTTCTCGCGATTAGCTCCTATTTGCAAAACAAGAGTGATAAAAGCAAGAGACTGTGTGGGGAACAAGATAGAAAAACAGGAGATCCCCACTGTGGCAGAGTTTCTGGAAAAGGGTTATATGTGAAAAACCTTCACGGTCCTTTGAAGCAAGTGTTGGAAAACAATGGGGCTGGATAGGTTACTTCCTCGAGAGTGATTGTGTTTCCAGTTGTGAAACAAGTGATTTCTACTTGTAAGGTGATACAATTGATTAATTTCATGCTATTTATAGAGAGATGGCAGATGTCAAAACATCCCACAAGAAGTAAATCTACTGGGAGGATAGGCAGAATTCAAAAACCAGTGATTCTTAAAACCAGAACAAGGTGTGTTCTGAAGTCCCCAAACTTGGGATTCATTCCTACTTGTGCCACTCACTAGTCATGAGAGCTCTTCATGTGAAGCAAAGTGGTTGTCATGCATTTTGGGGTGTTCCTGTTTGTAAGCAAGGCTCTTCCCTCCTCTCTTGAAAGCCACGGAATGGGGGCTCTAGAAGAAATACAAGTTTAGATGAGGGATGCTTGAAAGGAGGGGATCCTGGTATTTCACTGTCAAGTCGGAAGTCTGCTGAGACAGACAACTTGCTGAACTGCCCTCCCACCACCATGCTACTTGAATAGGGGGAAAGAGAACTGGAAAGCAGTGGTGTGGTGAGGGAAAAACCCAGGACAGCCACCAGTCCCTCTTTCTTGGTGCAGTGGAAGATGGTGCCACAGGTGTGTCACCACGACCTTGACCTCAGAAGCATGGAGTGGGAGTTGGGGGCATCAGAGGTTGCTGCATTGAAGGAGGACACTAGGAGATATGGCCAAATGTCAATGGGTAGGAAAGGCATTTGGGGGAGAGCCCCAAAGGGCGAAGGACAATGCACAAAGCCAGAGTGAGGCCTGTAGTCGAGGCTGAGCAAGCAGAACTGGCCTTCTTTTCCAGTTAACTGGGGAGAGTTATCTTCCCTGTTGCTCTCACCCACCCCCAGGGCACCGGAGGAGCTGGTGCCCAGAAGCAGCAGGTGGGAGACGTGTGAAGAACATGTTGCCCTTCCGCCTCCAGCCCCTCAGAGGGCCTGGCAGTGCCTAGAGGCAACGAGCTGTGAAGAGGATCGGAGATCACAGTTTACGGGGGCTGGCCTGAGGAGTTCCTGAAACTCTTTATGGAAGTATGACATAAATACAGAGAAGTGCACAAATGCTCAGTGAACAGCTGGGTGAATTTCCGCAAAGTGAACACAGTTGGGAACCAGCACCCAAGAGCAAGACACTGCGCCTTCCCAGCACAGCCCCACCATGCCCTCTTCCAGTCAGCCCCCGTCCCTCCTGTGGTTACTTTTGATTCCTAGCACCCAAGGTGAGTTTGCCCTCCTTTTGTCCTTTACAGAAACAGAACCACACAGCACATGCTCTTTTGTGTCTGGCTTCTTTCACTCAACATTAGGTGTGTGAGATTGATCCATGTTGTTGTGTACGGGGATCAGGTCTTATGAAACTGATGAGCAACAGAAAGTTACTAGAAAGTTCGAAATAGGACGAAGATGTGGTTAAAGTTTCTGCCTCCGGTAGGAAAGGGAATCATCACAGCCAACTTGAAAGCAAGTTTTAGAAATAATAAAGCCATTTCATGTTGATATCATAAGTTAGTGCTTTTAATAGCAACTTGTCACTTAAATATTGTTTTTATATTTAAATAAAGTACCTTAGGTGACTCAGGTTGACTGGCTATTGTTAGAACAGAAGAATAAGAAAGCCACAGCTGTGGGTTTGCATCTTCCGTTGGTCATGGTGCTGAGTTGCCAGCCGTGGGTCAAGACTGTCCTGCCAACCCCAGAGCTTGCATATCACTCCCAAGAGCAATTAGGCAGAAGGGCAAGGTGTCTGAAGCACACTTCACGTTGCATGAGATGGAGGTGCATTAAGAGAAAAGCAAGACTCACTAATTGAGAATTATATGCATACGTTATCTCATTATTTCCAGGTTATGCAAATTATAAATGTCTAAAGAGATCTAAAAATATTCCACTAATCAACTTTTAACCAGCTCAGGAACAGGTGGAGATACAAACACAATATATGTTCAGGTTAAAAATTTTCATGTGTTTTCCTTTGTTATTATAAAAGCATTATGCATTTATATGAGGAATATGGGATCACCAGTGATTTGATCTATCTATATTTTTTACTTTTTATTTTGGAACTAATTTCAACTGACAGAAAAGTTACAAGAGTGGTACGAAGAATCCCCACTTCTCTTTGCCCAGAGACCCCGTTCATGTTTAGCCAGCTGTCCTAATAATGTCCTTGATAGCAAAAGGATCCAATTCAGGCTCAGGTGTTGCCTTTAGATGTGTCTCATCAGCCCCCTTCAGTCTGGAACAGTTCTTCAGTCCCTCCTTAAACTGGTTACAGGCCAATTATTTTGTAGAATATCTCCTCAGTTTGGGGTGATGCACAGTGTCCTCATGATCTGCTTTGGTTTATGTATTCTGGGGAGAAATAGCACAGAAGTTCTCATGCATTCCCCCTGATGGCACATGATGTTCATCGCGTTCCATCAGATGGCACACAGTGCCAATTTGTTCCATCACTGCTGATGTTAACTTTGATTACCTGGGTAATGTGGTTTCTACAAATTCATTCCACTGTAAAGTTACCCCTGTTCCCTTTATAATTAGTAATTATTTTGTGGGGAGATAAGTTCAGGCTAATTCTATTACTTCTACATTTCTAAGCTGGCATTCTACTATGAAAAAGCGCTTTCTTTTCTCTGTATTTATTTATATCAGCAGGACTTATAGATTACTATTTTGTTGGGTACGGTATAATATGGTACTCTCATTGTTTATTTTGATGCTCAAATTCTTCATATTTGGCCAGTGGAAGCCCCTTCAAGCCAGCTTCTGGATCTTTTTTGACATTTTCCATCATTCTTTGAGCACTTCCTTACTTTCTGGTGAGACATTTGAGGCCCATCTTACATTTTTCCTAGCCCAGGCCTGGGATCAGCCATTTCTCCAAGGAGCCCTGATTTAGGTTTTCTTGGTGCACAATGGTAAAAACAAACAAACAAAAACAAAAACAAAACAAAAAAAAATATGTATACACACACATCTACACTTTACATCTAAATTTACTTTTATATCTATCTAGATATATTGAAAGTAACATTTTCATACTGATTCCTTCAATATTAATCCAACTCTGCAGAGTTCATTCTAATTTTCCCCGTTTTCATAACCCAAAAGATTAGAGAAGATACATTGAGTTTTACCATAGAAGAGGACTTATTGAAATGTTTATAACCCTGGTTCTCATCTACCGGAAAAGGTCACTTTTTCTTTGAGGACTTGTTTTATTTCAAACCCAAACAACTTAGTCTTTGGTGGAATTTTGGTTTTTGCCAAGTTCACAGGTATGAAAAATCTGTGTTCTTAACACCATAAGGATCACCTAGAAGAGGCTGGTGAGAGGACCCCTTTGTGTTAAATCCAAATTGTATTACATTCTATTCAATGTATAAAGAGTGTGGTCATTATGTGAAAAATACTCAAATTTTGCAAACTAGAGTAGGTTTTCTTCTCAAAAAATGTTTTTCCTTTGGCATGCTTAATAGAGGGTTACTTCTCAAATGCCCACTTAAGCTGGTAAGTCTTGTTTGCTGACAAGCACTTACAAGAAAAATATGTTTGTAAGACAGTTCTGAGGCTGTTCGTTAGGATGCTGCCCTACCATTTCTACTCATTAATCATAAACTGTCTTGAGCACCTAACACCATGGATGTATTTTATTGACCTGCTTAGAGACCAAAGCATCTGCCAAATATTAGATTGCTATATCTCCATTTTATAGATAACGAAATTGAGGTTCAAGTAATTTTGGTAACTTGCTGATTTTGGCAGAAAAAGTGGTTGAGGTAGAAGTCGAACCCAGGCAGGCTGGCTCCACTGTCCCCGTGTTCAGCCATCACACTAAACTTCCCACAACAAAGTTGTTTGAGAAAAAACTGGAGAATTGGATAATCTGGAAAATGACATTCTGCATTTTCATAGATATGGTTCATTATCAAATGAAGCAGAGACGGTTACCTAGGGAATTAGGAAAAACCCAATTCCCCTGATCACTTGGGTCTCCTTCATAATGCGCATGCTGTTGTGTCCTTGTGGGGTGGGTGAGGAGGTGAGGCAGGGGAAGAATGAAAATGTGAAGGTCACTGACCCACTTTGTCATTCATTTTGCCTTATTCAGAGCTATTGGATTCAAGCACTGGTCATTATGTATTTGAACTAGAGCTTTTGCTTATTAAAACTGCCCCCCCAAAAGCCAGAGTGGTCCAATTCCCCCTCTCAGCACACACCACCAAACTAATAAACTTTACACTCAGTAACTTGTCACTCTGAAAGCGGCTGATGACAGAGAGGCTAATGCATGGTATCCGCTTCCTTCCTCTTCCCCCAAGCCTCCCCTCACAGTGGGTAGACAGCATGAACAAGCTGAGGAAGAAGTCTCCAGACCTTGACTCTGAGCTTAATTTGTGTTTCAGACTGCTGGGCAGATCGATCCCCACTTCATGAAGCTGCAGCCCAGGGGCGCTTACTGGCCCTTAAAACTTTAATTGCACAGGTAAGTAAACTCAAGACTTGATCCTTTGTGCTTTTGCTATAATCAAGCATCGTTCTTCATTAGCTTTGGCCATAGCAGAGGTCTTGCCTGCCTCATCCGGGTCCTAGCACTGCCATTCTAGGCATATGTATCCTCTTGTACCTCATGATTTATTCCTCCTGCCTCTCCTTTCTTGGGGAGCTGCCTCATTTTCTCCCCAGTTCCCTCCTTCCCCTTCTGACCCTTCCTTTACCTCAGAGGAAGTTCCCTGTGAGAGATGATGGTGGATGTCCTCAAATTTATGTTGTACTAACTCACCTCATGCTCTCCTAGTGTGCATTAGCAGCAGCAGTCCTCAAGTTGCAGTAGTCAGCTATTGCTGCATAACAAATTACCTCAAAGCATAGTGGCTGAAAACACCAACACTTAAATTCTCACGGTTTCTGCAGGCCAGGGAGCAGCTTAGCTGGGTGATTGTGTCTCAAGGTCTCTCATAGGCTACAAAGCGTCAGCCAGGGCTGTGGTCATCTCACAATTCAACTGCAGGAGGGTGTGCTTTCAAACTCATTCACATAGTGGTTAGCAAACCTCAATTCCTTGCCACATGGGCCTTTCCACAGGGCTGCATCATGAGATGGCAGCTAGCTTCCCCCAGTGAGAGTGCAAGAGAGTGCCTAAGAAGGAAGTCACAGTATTTTCATAACCTAATCTCCAAAGTGACATCCTGTCACTTCTGCCATATTCTGCTGTGAGTCAATAAGTCCAGCCCACACTCAAGGAGAAGGGATTACAGAAGTAAACCAATACCAGGAATCGGTGATCACTGGGTGCCATCTTAGAGCCTGCCTAACCCTATGACACACTATTTCAAGAGCAAGCATTAAAATATTTTGACAGACAGGTAAATCTTACTCCTTAGGAATGATTTATTCAAGTCTTAGAGATTAAGGCTACTTTATTTGTATTTATGACTATATCCCTGGCACCTTGAACAATGAGTGGTGGCCTAGGAAATATTTGTGAAATGAATGAACGTGCACATGCTCCACTTGCTTTGTTTGTCTTTGCAGATACATGTGTACAGAGGAGGCGAGTCACTATGTCTTTTTTCCACATCTTAGCAATAACCTCACCTGGTTTCCTTAACATTTTGAATCTAAACAGCTAGGCACCGTGCTCTTTGTGTGTGTATTTATTTTTTGCTTTCTTCTTTATGAGTTGTGTTACTTCTTAAGAAATTAGAGGGAAAGGAAAACAGTACTGCCAGCAATGATCAAATGGGCTTTGGATCTGATTTTATCACTTGCTCGTTTATTTTTAAGCACTTTAAATTTGATGTGATTTGATTATTTTAATATGTAATATATTCACATAATTCAAAAATTAAAATGATATAAAAACCTACACAGTGAAAAGTCTTTCATCCACCCTTTCACTCTCAGCCTCCCACCTTTTTATTTTAGAATAACTTTTTAAAAGAGATGCAAAGATAGTACAGAGAGTTCTTATGTACCCTTCACCCAACTTTCACTAATGTTAACATCTTACAAAGCCGTGGTACATTAGCCAAAAATAAGCAATTAACATTGGTACAATATCATTAACTAAACTGTGGACAATTGAGATTTTACCAGTTTTTCCACTGGTATCCTTTTTCTATTCCGGGATCCAATCCAAGATCTTACACTGGATTTAGCACTTCTTTATTTTTAACTATTTTTTGCTTCAATAGTGTGATTAAATGCATAAGGGACATTCTTCATTGAAAATTTCAGCTTTTTCTTGCTAAATCCCCACTTCTTTACCCTCACACACTAGTCAAAATGTGGTATTCTACTATTTTTTTCTGTATTTCACATTTAGATAGTGTGGTAAATGTGAGCAAAACATTAAACCAATGTAAGTAGATGTGAGTAAAACATTAAACCAAGATTCAGGAGCTCCTGGTTATACCGCTAGCTGTCACTGGCAGCGGGGGAGAATCAAGTCTTACCAATAATTTTAACTTTCTGCATCGTTATTTTCTCATGTACAATTAAGGTGATCCACTGTACATGGTCTTTCTGGCCTGCCCAGCATTAATTTTCTCCATTTCCAGGATTCTGAGATTTTTGCCACTTTTTTTTCTAGCACATTGCTGCCACCTTGTGGATTAGCCTGTTTTTTGTTTGTTTGTTTTTATTTTCTTAAAAGGAAATCATACATGGGAAAAGGAAAAGACTTTTCTAACTGTATTTGATATACAGTTTGAAATACATAGTACCGCTCTACAGTGATGATGTCATATTCAGGACATGAAAATAGACAGGACCTAAGAGGCATAGAGAGGCCATGTGATGAAGGGACAAACAATACTGGGAAATCCAGCTTCTGGGATGCAGCCAGCACTACGGAGATCGGGCAGGAGATGATGCCTATGAAGTTTGGGGGTCAGGGTCATGGCACCAGGTTTTGGAAGCTTTCAGCAGGTCAGTTACAAGGTAGGGAATCAAAAGCAGGGCTGAGCTGGGGTGGACAAACCAGTGACCTAACTTCTTTCACAGATAGAAAGTGGTAATCTTGGGGGGAAATGGTAAGAGCCAAGTTGTTAGAATGAGGGTTTGAAGTCAGAGTTGTCCAGCAAGCAGTTAGGCTGACCTTGTCATCTGTCACATGGACTCCAGGATGGGAAAGGTGGAGCATGGCAGCGTGGTGAGGGGGAATGTGTTAGATGTGTTAGGACAGGGTGGAGGCATTCGGACCTGGGTGAGGAGATAAGGGTTAGTTGAACCCCCTGGCCCCAGACCCTGGGATTCAGAGACCTCTCCATGCAGTGGAGTCACGGCCATAGCAATGCTGCTACTACACAGCATGCAAGCCATAGGAGCACTGTCCACTTCCTTTCTACTCTTAAGCCTGGGAGTCATTGCTCTGGTCCAGCTCCAGTGCGACCTCCTGAACCTCTCTACACTCCATCACCTGCTCCTCATACCCACTGCTGTTCGTGCCCACTGCAGGTCCAAACTAGCTATGCCTGGACTCATAGCCATGTCTTCCTCGGCTCTCTTTGCTTCTGCCTTGCATCCCTACCCCTCCAATCACCCCTCCATTGCTGCTACCGGTGTGCTTCTTCCACCACAGCTGATCTATTAGCTCACAGGTGCCTCCTTCCCTCTAAGGTATGCACTACCTGTTTGGCAATCAAGGCCTTTCATGATCGGGCTCCAAGTCACTGTCCTCCTTCATCTCCCCCCATCTCCTACTTCCCCTTTCTTCTCCAGTTGCTATCTCATGTGGGTCCTTTCTGATCCAGAAATAGCCAGCTATCCAACTGTGCCCTGCCACACTTCCTGTTGCTTCCTACATTTGCGTATTCTGTTCCCTCCTAATGGCACTCTTTCTTTGTCTTCTTAGCTTGAAATTTTTATGCTTCAAGCCTTAGCTAAATGCTATTTGTGAAGTTTTTTCTTACTCTCCACGTCAGATTCGAGGATACCCCATGCTCTCAACTGAAATTTGAATGTGCTTCCAACATAGCAGTATTCTTGCTCTTTTCTTTTTCATTTATGCCTCCCTACTAGGCTCTTGGAGGAGAGAGAACTGTCATAAGCTTGGAAGCCCCAGGTCCTAGTGCATTGTCTGGCCAGAATACTAAGTAAGCATTTGATGAATAAAGGAATTTGAGGATTCCACGCTGTGTTTCAACTCTTCCTGGTCATGGCCTCTCCTTCTCTATGTGGTGCTAATATTACACCCACAGACCCTGAAAACTTCAGAAACATGTCAAATGATGTTGCTTTCATTGCTGTCATTAACGCAGCATTTAAGTCTCTTCTCTCCTAATTGTAGGGTATCAATGTGAACCTCGTGACAATTAACCGGGTCTCTTCTCTCCATGAGGCCTGCCTTGGAGGTCATGCGGCCTGTGCTAAAGTCTTATTGGAAAATGGTGCACAAGTGAGTATGGCCCCTGCCCACTTAGGCCTGTCTGCCCATGTGCACCTGCTAACCTCTACAGAGACATTACCTTCCAGACTGCTTACCAACTGTGGGTGTGGGCAGGTCTGGTCCCATCCACGTCCATATTCCATCATCAGGTTATTCCTCTCTCTTCATCCTGTATCCCCATATGTGAACATTCTGTATGGTAATTCACAGGAATCTTTCAAAATTGTGATGCTGACTTTTAAAAAATCTTTGCTATAAAACATTAAAAAGAACAAATTTATGACAATAGAAAAACCCTCTTAATTCAACACCCTAAACCAACAACTATTTCTATTGAGCAGAATTATCAAATTAAATGAGCTTTAAATAAATAATGCATTGGGGGAAAAAACCCACGAAATTAAACTTTATCTTATTTTTAACTCGTGCTATTTTTTTTTCAAAGAATGACTGAGGTGGTATATATCATACAGATACCAGAATAGAATTATAGAATCAAAACTTCTGAAAATCTCAATGACACCTGTATTTAGTTGTCAGATGCTGTTTTGTTGCTAATTTTATTGTTTAACTCAGTCCTTGAATTTTTTATTTTATGAGCTGCTGTGGTTTTAGTACTTAATAACTATTTTTCTTTGCATTTTATATGGAAGTTGGGTTTCTACAGATAGACCTGAATATAAAATCATCCTTGTACAAACTGATTTTTCCGATGCCATTGTGGCTGTACATTTCCGTTAGGTAGTGCTTCTGTAAGTTACCACTTAGTCAGCTCATGGGTAATGATGGTGAAGTTTGTGAGGGCCACTTGCTTTCGAGCTAGATAACTGGAGTCACAGACAGACTGCTGGTGGGAAATGTTAAACAATGTCGGGTCAGAAAGAAGGTTTGGTCGGGGACAAAGAGAAAAATAAGATACGATCCCTTGTGATTGGCAATTTTATAAGGGCACAGCTAATAAATACTGTTTTATACTATTTAACATTTAAATCAGATTTAGATAAAGGAATAAGAGAAAGTTGGTCAATCAGTAGAAATTCCCCTTTAATTGGAAGTCCCATGGATACCTCAAACTCAAAGCATCTGAAACTGTGTTTATCACGTTCTTCCTTCTGGGGTCCTGCTCCTTGTCTCGGGTTCCCAGTTTCAGAGACTGGCCTCCCAAGCCCCAAATCTGGGAGTTATCCTATTTCTTCCATCTTCTCATATAATTAATCACAAAATCCTGCTAATTATACTTCCTAAGTGTGTCTCAAGTCTATGCTCTCCTTTGTCCTGCTCCTATAGTGGTCTAAAGCATTTATTATTGTATCAAAATGATATCCTTTTATGTTTGTCTTTCATGATAGAATTCAACCTACTCAAGGAGAGGCAATTATCTTACTTTGTTTCCAAAACACTGGCATCTAGGAGGTGTTCAATAAATGTTTGCTGACATAAACTGAGAGAAACTTACAGGAAATCAAATAAGATGAGGATAAGGACGATACTTAGTAAAAACAAATCCAACCAGTTCCACCAAATATTTTTCAGTAAAAATATAAATAGGTTAGAAATCCCTAGTGCATGAATTTACACACATTTTCTCCTGCCCTTGTCTGTGTCTTCCATCTTAGCATCTCATCTTTAACTTTCCAGTTTAGTGGGGGAGATACTGGAACCCTGGAGAAAAATCTCTTTTGTTTCTGAAGTGAGGAAATTTAGAATGCTGATTATCACAAGCATCTATCCTTAGTTGTTGAGGCAAAATGGTTTAACATCAAACCTCCATTGTCCTACATTTCAATCATAGCAGAGCCTCCCATCAGAATGTCTTGGTCCCCTGATGTTCTTTCCAATCTGTTGTTGATATGCAAATATGCCTCCTAGCCCTGCTGGTTCTCATGAGCCTCCCACACTTCTGGAAGGGTGGTTGGAGACACCATGTTGATGGCTACTTTCTATGTGCCTTTGTCTTGGTCATGATCTCTTTGGAAGTCACAGCTGGTGTATGCAATTTGTATGGATTATTGTCAGCCAGAGAGGAAATTTGTGTCAAGAAAGACAGTAGAAATGTGGAGAATTGCTGAGGAGATCTGTTGCAAGCACAAATTTGGGGACCATAAACTAGCGATTTCTCCAGTATTTTTGGTTCCCGCCATGTTTGTTATGATTGGGACAGGGAGTTAGGGCCATACTAATGGAAAATGGAAATAGTTATTGTTGTAAATATTTATTGAGTGTTTACTGGGTACCAGGCAATGTTCTGAATGTTTAACATATGGTAATTCACTTGGGCAACCCAATAACCTCATGAGGTATATTCTTTCATGATCCTTATTTTATAGGTATGGAAATTGAGGCACAGAGAGTTAGTATCCCAATACAGATCACTGAACAAATAAAAGAAAGAGCTGAATTTGAACCCAAGCTAATGATTCCAGAGGCCATGTTCTTAACAAACATGCAGGACCACTCCTCAATGATTAGGAGGCTGTTTAGAAGCTTTGGCCCCTTTTGCCTCACTTGTGATATTATTTATAGCTGGGAGTTGGTTGATAGGCTACTGGTGCCTAAAATCATGATACTGTAATGATATGAAGCTCCGTCACTCATTCACTGGTGTGGGGACTTTCCCCAGGCAGGTACATGAGAATACACACTTGGAGATGGTGAGAAAGAAATAGCAAGTCCCCTGGGTCTCTCTTTGCCCATCATTAGGTCAATGGAGCGACAGTTCATGGAGCCACACCCCTCTTCAACGCTTGTTGCAGTGGCAGTGCTGAGTGTGTCAACGTGCTGCTAGAGTTTGGAGCCAAGGCCCAGCCTGAGATGCACCTGGCTTCACCCATCCATGAGGCAGTGATGAGAGGTAAATGAACCACCACAATGCCCAGAAAGCATTGGTGAACTCACTCCAGTCTGCATGAAGCCATGGTCTAATGTTAGCCATATAAGGGTCACCCTCACCAGATCTTCCTCACTATGAGAATATGTGTGGCTTAGGAATCCCACAGCAGCAACTTTAATTTGCCTAAATCTTCAGGAAATACCCTGTAGCACAAAACAGCTCTTATAACCTGGGAATGTCTTCCCGTCTCAGATGTTTTGTTTCCTGAGGATGGTCTCTCAGCATGACTTTCCCAAATCTCTTGGCTGGTGTTTTGGTGGCAGCTGGTGCAGCCAAGACAGCAGTTGTGACTTCCATGAATTGTACCATGCTATGTCTCTGTCCTTAGTAGAAAAGAACGGCTCATTCTCTTCAAGCCCATAAAACATCAGTGACTAACATAAAATAAATTACGGAGGTGAAAGCCAAGGCTGATACTACCTCTAATGGAATAGTAAAAATATAACTGCCCACGATAAGCAATGTGCTACAGATGAGCTGATGACTTCAAGGTCATAGTTATTTTTTAAAGAATTGCAAGTTTAAAAAGCATGGTATTGGAAATCTTGAAGTTGACTCTAGACTCCTGTGTTTTCAGTTACTTTTGGTGAGGAAAAACAGTAAATCTAAATAATTTAAAAACTATATGCATAGGCTAGCCATGAACAGGAAGAAGTCATTGAAAGGAAAAGGCCATTTGTCAAAGGTCATACTCAAGAGCAACATTTCAGTGATACTCAGTAGTAAAGTTAATTCTTCTATATGAAGATCAGAAATACAATGAGAAGTTAGAACAGTCTAGAATAGGGGTCTTTGCTGGTGTAACTGAAGATGAAAGTCCTTATTTCAAAAGGCAAAAGTGAAAGATTTGCCTCAGGTTATTTAACATATCACTTGGTAATTTTTTTCCAATGGATTACTTTAAATGATACAAAAGACCCAAATCTCACCATGTCTATGTCTTTTATGTTCTAAATGTATTTAATAAATATTTATTGATTAATAAGTAATGTTACTTATTTCCTAAACATCAAGTTAAGTCCTTTTAAGTTGTAGAGTAATGGACTATTTTGGAAATAATATATAAATCTTTTTAACATTTTAATGTTGATTTGAAGTAAAAATTAATGTTATTTGCTTTTTCTATCCAAATGTTTAAAAAGCGGATGAATATTGGGAATGGTTTAAATTACTTAAGTAATTCTGCACTGCTTGGCTAGTTATATGTGGAGTGTTTGGTATCTGTGTTCCTACAAAACATATACTTACATATCCTTATCATAAACACAGTTTACGTGTTTCTACATATTTTTTTCTGTATAGTACAAGCATGTTAAGGACCAATGTCCACAGAATGGAAGCAAATATATTATTTTAGATACTGCTATATTAGTGATGGTCATTTAACTTTTATATTAGCAAATTTATTATTTTAGATACTGTTTTATTAGTGTTGGTCATTTAACTTTTATATATTCATTTTTAAAACTTCCTGAGAATCCTTAAATTTAACTCAAAATATGCTCAATTTCTTGTTGAGCAAAAAGAGACAATAATTATTCAGAAATATTTATTATATACCCTGCATTTATCAGGCAGTTTTAGGCACTTGGTAGATGTTATTTCTGGATTCTTATAACTTTAAACCTCTATAGGCAAGCTGGGTCATAGTCTGAGTTAATACCTTGACATATTGATGGTATAATCCAGGTATAATATTTACTTGTGTGAACAAATCATTTGAATCCCACAGAATCTTGATTTGTACATTTTAACGCATATTTATACTTATTTCATGATTTGTGACAAATCAGGCAGGTACAGGATAGGCTTAACTATTATGTTTTCTATAAAGAGAAGGTTGGTTAAATTAATTAGTAATGATAAGATTTTTAAAGGAAATATTTAAACCTTCAAAGAGAACTAAGCCTTTACAAGCTCCTGTCAATGCCACAGAAGCATTCTCTCCTGAACAAATCATTCATATCCTGCAAATTAATCATGTCTATCCCTTCATTGAGCAAACTCTCAAAGGAGAATGCTTGCTTGCATAGTTCTTGTTATCCACTGAGTTTGAAAGTATATTTAAAAATATTCTATACTCGAGACTTTTTATTCATTCTCCTGGGTGTCTTCCAGGCTAATTAAAATAAGGTTGCAGACCATACACCCAATCTCACATGCATGGGTAAGAAAAAGAATGAGAGATTTGTAGTGGAGAGGGAAAGGGTTGGGCCTTGGGTTTGAGCACTGGCTTTTTGCAGTAATAATAGGGCGAGTCATTTACCCCTCTGGGCCTTGTAGCCTCCATTTGTAAAATGGTGGCTTCATTCTAGAGAGTGATTTCAATTGTGCTCCTTGGACCCCTTGGTTTACTTAGAGTTACCTCAGGGGCTACAAAGAGGAGTCTGAGTCAGGGAAGCATGAGTATGCTTCTCTTTTTAGTGGTTTTATCTTGGGGGTTCCTACCTAAGATTTCCAAAAATGAACAAACAGAATTTTCTATTACAAAAAGAGGTCTAGGTTATTTCTAAAGCCCATTCCAGATAAGCTAACCTAAAATTCTGCAAATATTCAGTATGTCTCTTTCTTGAGTGAAGTTATCTTGTGTTTTACCAGGTCACAGAGAGTGCATGGAGATTCTGCTGGCAAATCATGTTAACATTGACCAAGAGTTGATTCAGTTTGGAACTCCCCTGTATGTGGCCTGCTCCTACCAGAGAGTGGACTGTGTGAAGAAGCTTCTAGAATTGGGTAATTTCCAGAAATCTTTTCATGAGAAGAACCTGTTAGCCTTGTTGGTTTTCTATGGCTTCAGAGATGAAGTTCTTGTCAGGCTGGAAAAAAATCTGATAGTATTTAATGCTTGAATGCCAAAAACAGAATTTCTACAGAGAAACTGCGTGTATTTCTCAGTTCTGCTTCCTTTGCTGTTGACTCTATTTACTTGGTATGGGTCTCCCTGGTGGTTTCAAAATGTCTGCCAGCAACACCCGGGCTTATAGCCTTTCTCATCCAAACATAGCAAAAAAGAGAATTGGCTCTTTTTGAGCCACATGCCCATATGTGAACCAGTCATAGTGGCCGATGGAATATATTGTACTGATTGTCTTAGGCTTGATTTCAGTCTACTCTGCAGTTATTAGGCTTCACTGGAAATGCACGGACTGGGAATCACAAGAGGGTAGTTCCCAAGAGGGAAATCTAGGTGTGGCCAGCAAGAAGATGCTGGATCGTAAAAACAAAAGACATTTGCCACAGATTATTTTAGATCTATCCTAAGCTCTTTAGTCATTTTAAAAATTCAAAGCGGCATATACAAAAATTGAGAGCCCAGGGAAAAGTAAAATGTCTTGAAACTATTTGTTTAAAGATTTGACAAACTTAGCCACTGACATAAAGGTAGGAGTTGTAGTAAAAACCCTTAGCTGAGAGTTTTTATCTCCAAAAGGCTCTTTGTCTTTTCTTATTCCCTACAATTTACTATTCTCTATTGTAAGCTCGGAAATCTTTTTTTGAGCCCCAAATAATATAAATACTAAGTAAATTTAGCTTTATTTCTTGTCAAAAAGCAAAATAATTCTATGTGATAGGACCCTCAAATATCTTATTTTGTATGTCACACAATTTATGTGGGGAAGCAAGTAAAGTATTTAAAAATGTCTAAAAATATCTAAATTCACTTTTCTCACCAAAATATTTTGAAACTTTCTTAGTAGGCATTGCTAAGGTTTTAGGCTTCAGTCACATATTTTCAAAGACTTGGCAAATACATCATGGCATTTAAGATGTCTTTATACACAACAATGATATTTTAGGCTCATTGTGTCTTACATTAACATTCAGTGTTGAATTGTGGCCATCTGCTTTATTAAGGAGCCAATGTTGACCACGGCCAATGTCTGGACACCCCCCTCCACATTGCAGTAAGGCAGTCCAACGTCGAGATCGTCCGCCTGCTAACCGACTATGGGGCTAACCTGAAGTGCAGGAATGCTCAAGGCAAAACTGCACTTGATCTGGCGGCTCCGAAAAGCAGCGTGGAGCAGGCTCTCCTGCTCTGCAAAGGTAACCATGGGCTGAGTGTCCACTTCTCTTCCCTAAGCACATTGCTGTCTCTCCTTCCTTTCTCATCCCTAGAATTTTTTTTCTTTTCTTTCCTCTTTTAAATTGGGGTGGTATCATGGGAAGTGACAAGTCCTGGCATCACTGAGATGTCTTCTGGGATTTTACATGCTGTGTCTATTTACTTATAACCAAAGGGCATTTACATACAACTGGATTGTTGCTTTGTATATTTCATAACAAGAAAATAATCAGAAAACTTTGTGTTCACCGTGAAAAGCTTGATCTGCCACATCTATCATGGCATAAGCTTGAGCAAACCAAAACTCTGCTTTGTAATACTAAAAGGCAATCAAGGACAAATTAGAAATACTTGAGTTAGAGGCGATAGGGGATACACAGAGTATGTATTTCAGAAACTTGACTAAATGGTGAGGTATTTGCCTGTTCTTCAGATCAAGAAGTAGGTGGGTCTGCATTCCTCATTGCTCCACTCCCATTTCCACAATGGGTGTTAAGAGCAACTGTAGATGCCAGAGGAGGAAAGAAGGTGAGTTTCTAAAAATGCTTCATGTCCCAATTTCAGAAGAGAACCATGTATATCCGTTCAGTAAGAGAATATTTTCTGAGCCTATACTGATCATTTGTATGCTTGAGAGCATTTTAAAGATAATTGTAATTGTTCAGCTTTACATGTGCCAGGCACTGAGCTAAATTTGAAACATAGATTAACCTCACTGAATTCTTAAAACTTTAAAGCAGTGAGAACTTTATAGTAGCTGGTGCTATGCCAGCTACAAACGGGAAAAGAGAAGCATAGAGAGATTGGCTTGAGGTCACAAAGCTACTAAGAAGTAGAGCTTGGTTAGAGTGTGGTTCTGATAACACCAAGGTCCTGGATTCAATTCCTGTACAGGCCAGCAGCCTCCCCCACCCTCAGAAACAAACAAAACCAAAAAACAAAAAAACGAAAGAAGTAGAACTAGGATTCTAACCAAGCTGCCTGACACCAGAAAGTGCACTCTTAGTGTTATGAGGCCCCAATCCTGAATATTCTGAAACAATTTCCAGTGGGGAGGTGTTTTGTTTTACTGATCAGTTCCATTTTGGGAGACCACCCCCATTTCTAATTTATCTTCCAAGTGGAATGCATGGTTTAATCGTTTTAGGAATGGTCTCTCTATAAATTGGTGCTTCTTAAGCTTTAACATGCATACCAATCACCTGGGGATCTCATTAAAGTGCAGATTCTGATTCAGGAGGTCTGGGGGAAGGCCCTAGACTCTGCATGTCTAGCAGGCTGTCAGGTGATGCTGATGCAGCTGGTCTAAGGACCACACTTTGAATAGCACTGACTTAGATTATTTGCTGTAGTCTAGGTCATGAATGATTGTTCTTTTATTTGTACCTCTACCAGGAAAATTACGATCTTCTTTACCAGATCCCAGTTTGGAAATACCAGGTACTTTCCAACTGTTAGCTGAAAATATTGTTTACAGCAGTTTTCGCACTTCCTCTTTCCCTCCATCAAACATATTTCCAGGTCTAGGATTTGTGTTCCTCATAAACAAGTTCCTCTGTCCTCTAGCTTTGTAAATATAGCCACTTGCTCTAGAAGGATGAACACCAGCTACATCAGAGTTTGCTCTGCTGTATGAACTTCTCAAGGCCAGCCAGACAATTTGTCTGCATTACTGTTTTCCAGAGGAGCTTAAATTGGGCAAAAAGTAGAGACACTTTCCACTCTTGCTTCCCAAGGCGCAAGTAAGGACGATTAACTTAACTAAGGGCGATTGTTTGGTCCTTCAGGTAGCTTTCTTATCACATGGATGCTTGCTGACAATGTCAATCCAAGTGTTATCTGGTTATTTGTATATGTGGTCTGCCATTTTTCATGGGGCGTAAGATGGTGTTACAGTAGGATTTTCTTGAAAAGGAAAACTTTGTATAGGCCAGTAATTAGATCTACTTGAAGAGAACTTTATTGATAGTCAGGTAAGAAAATAATGGGATATTATGAATGCTCCTGCATAACAAGCATTCCAGGCAAAAGTCATTCATTCTATTCAACCATATTTTGGGCTCTCATTGGCTTATTTTCCTTAAGGATTCAAAGCCATTCAAAGCCATCGGTATGGTCACTCCATAAGATGCCATGAGACTGAGGTTCAGGGAATAATGGGGTCTAAGTGAGTTGAGTACTTTCTATAGTTCTCTGTTGAGCTGAGATTCTTGAAAGAATGGAGAGCCCCTCCAGGTGTGAGTCAGGACCCAGCCAGCACGACCTCATGGGTAGCTAGAGCTGGGAGGTCCAGGAGGATGTTAAAGGCTATGTCTCTGGCCCCAGGCTCTTCTCCTAACATGGCCTCTGTGACCATGCTCATTGGGCTTCCTGCTGACACCCTCTCCATAGTTGTCTCTCTGCTCCACAGATCTCTCTCAGGGTCCTACATGATCAGTGCTTCCATTTGCATTTTCTTCTAGGCCAATATATCACTTTCATTGGTACATATAATACGTAAATGAGGTGCGTTCCCTTTAGATCCCACACTTCATTCCTAACTGGCCTCTGGTTAGCCTCATTCTTCAACATTCGTAATACAGTTACCACTGGAGGATCAACTTAAAGAAATACATTACCTCCAGGGGGACAAATGGGGATGCCCTGTCTGTATCTAGTATCTGCTACCTCATTCTATAATTCCTGTACTGATCCAGCTTCTCTTCTGCTTTTAGAAAGTTTCAGCCTCTTCCAATCCTCTGATCTCCTTCCACCCACCACCCCACCCCACCACCATGAGTTTCACAATATCTTTATTCCCTCTCTCAGGCCCACCTACTCTTTCCCAGCTGTGTCGCCTGTGTGTCCGGAAGTGCATGGGTCAAACATGCTATCAAGCCATCCACCAGCTATGTCTTCCGGAACCTCTCCAAAGATTCCTCCTATATCAATAGCTCCAACTGTCCACAGGAAGACAGTTGTAAATAAACAGGTTGTTGTCTGCTGTACCCAGGGTACCTAGTGTAGACACCCACCAGCTAGACTTTCTTAATCTTCAAATGAGCTGATCCAGTTAGAGTTAAATCCCCAATGAACTGGAACACTCGGGGAGTGGAAACTCCTGGTTAGTTTAATGTTCTCTTTAACCTAGGGGCAACCAGAAACCTTTTCGTTTTTAGCTCTTATTGTTAAGAAACTGTAAAGTAGAATGAAAATAATGGGCTATTTTATGATGATTCAGGATCTTCAGTACATAAAGGTCAACATTCTGAATATTGTGTAGACATGCAAATCTGGGTGGATAAGATTATAATGAAATGTTAAGTATTCCAAGATGTATTCCTGATTTAGTTCCCTCCTTTTGCCCCATTTCTTCTTTCTTTGCTTGAATAAATGTCTGCTATAATTTTGCTTTCTCTGACTTTTTTATATGAGGAGTCTTCAAAAAATTCATGGAAAGATTCATATTATTTTTTAATTCCACGTTTCCACAAATATATACAAAGCTAAATACTGTGAAAGCATCACAGTTAATTGGGGCTTCCAGTTACTGAAGTCCTGGTTGATAAGAGAGACTTTGGAAGAGATTAGCTCACCCAGAGGTTGGGGTCTCCTGCTCATCACTTGTGATATTAAATGCTGTTCTTCAAAGTAAACAGTTCTAGAATTGACAACACTGGGTGCCCCCAACAACCATCTCCCTTTCTTGCCCTTCTGCAACCTCTCCTCCTCTCCCTCTCTCTCCTCCTTTTTGTGAATTTAGAACATGGAAACTGGATAGACTTTTAATTTTTGTAAATACTACTGTCATGGTTCAATGGCTATAGTAATATTAGATTCTAAAATGAGAATTCTCTCTCAAATGATCCCAAGATTCACTTCAAACATGTATTTTTTCCTTCAGTTTTCCTAGACCTTTGGTTCTCAACTGAGGACAGTTTTGCCCCACCCCAACCTGGGGACATTTGACAATGTCTGGAGATATTTTTGGTTTCAACAGCTGGAGGGAGGAGTGGTACTGACATCTAGTGGGTAGAGACCAGGGATGTTGCTAACCACCCCACAATGCACAGGACAACCCACAACAGGGAATTATCAGGTCCAAAGTATCAGTAGGGCTGCAGTTGAGAAACCCTGCTCTAAACCTGTGCTATTCAATACAGTAGCCACATGCAGCTACTGAGCACTGGAATTGTGGCTACGCTGAATTAAGATGTGCCATAAATTTAAAATACACATCACATTTAGAAGATTCAGTACAAAAAACGATGCAAAATATCTTATTCATAACTTTTGAAGTTGATCACACATTGAAATGATAATATTTTGAGTACCTGTACCAGGTTAAATAAAATATATTATTAAAATTAATTTCACTTGCTTCTTTTTACTTTTTTAGTGTGACTACAATAAAATTTTAAATTACATATGTGGCTCGTGTTATATTTTTGTTAGTACTGCTCTAGACCATTGTCTGATTTTTATAACTTTGGAATATCTAATAATCTTTATATGGGGGTTGGTTTTTGGCTGAACAGTACAGGGAACAAGTAATAATCTTAATTAGTTAACTATCTTGGGGGAAAAGGTTAAATTCTTATCTTATATCATATTACAAAACAAACCTTGGTTATTTTTAGAAAATGCTTAAAACATTTAATGCTATAAAAATACTAGGAGAAAATGTACATGAATGTACATGAAAGGGAAGGCATTTTGTAAGCATAATATCAAAGGCAGAAACTTTAAAGGGAAATACTGATAAATTGGAATACATTAAAAATTTTGTTGCAAAAAAATGCCGTATATAGAATGAAAGGGCTAACCAAAGTGGTAGAAAACTGTATGTGAAAACAAACAAACAAACAAACAAACAAAAAACCGGGGGGGGGGGGGGAGGAAGATATAAAAACCAAAATTTTTTT